GAGCCCATTCTCTGTGTCCCCTACTCTATCGGCCACACTAATGCCTGCTTTTCCATTCCAGATTACCAGAGGCAGAAGGAGAGAACTGTTCACTGTCCCTGATGAGGTCCTCCCTAGTAATGGCTGCTCTGCCCTGCAATTCATTGGGTCACAGCAGGAAGACTGTCCTCCGCAGCATTGGGGAGATTTGACACTAACCTAGATTTTCCTTCAAGTTTCAGCTTCGGGCAGAGGTGTGACTATCCTGCTGGCTCTGTGGGTCTCAGCTCCCACAAGATCCCAGCTCTGCTCTCTGTACTGATGGACCCAACCTATTCCTGCTGTTTACACCATGGAGTCAAGGATGTGGCAGGACAGGGAGCTGGGCTCTAATCTACAGTTTCTGGCTTAGGCACTGCACTGCAGAGGTTGATGGAGAAGTGGGGTATGGAGGATGGCTTCTGTAGCCAGACCTGTATCCATGGAGTGAGTGTCTTTTCCAGTAGGTGATTGCTTCTTTTAAAGGAGATCCTTATGGGGTGCTGTTCTTGCCCATCTCAATGAGGTGTGAGGCCAAAGAGGGTGGGTCTGTATACATGCACCATGTCTGAATTAGAGCACAAGACGATGAGGCTGTGGTGCTGATTCTAAGCCAAGCACAGAGCAGGCTTTTTCTTTCCAACATGGTCTCAAATGTCTTTTGCCCTATCCATCATGCACTGCAAAATTGTACAACACTAATGAAGCAGCTACTGCTTGCTGAGGGAGAAAGTAGCTGGCAGAACCTGGCATTAGGCACAGCCAAGCTGCTGTCTGCCATTGCCTAGGTAGGTGCCTCTGCACAATTCACCATCCACTGGAGTTTCTTCACCATCCACTGGAGTTTCTTCACCATCCACTGGAGTTTCCTTTAAAAGTAAGCCCTGTACCTTGTTCACAACACAGAAGCACTTGGGCTCTGGGGAGGTAAGAGGAATAAGTGCTCTGTGGTAAGAGAACGGGGGGGAGGGGGGGCAGCACAGCAGTTACTGCATAGGAGAGTGACTCTGCCTTGTTCTTCTTGTCCAGTGGCTACTTGCTGTAGCCTGACACTGCCATCTTCGCAAATTCTAGAAGGTGAACAAACTGTTCAGCCCCTTTTATGGACATGGCTAGAAATCCTCCCCCACCCCCAGCTGCTCCTTTCTAGGGCAATGGGTTGGTTGGGATCCATGGAAGAGAGAGGAGGTAACTTCAGTGAACTTTAGTATTGTGTGTCTGTCCAGCCATCTTCCTGGATTTTAAGATTAGGGCATATGCTTGTATCCCATCATGATTTAACACCCCCAACGGTGGAGTAATTCTTGGGACTAGTTTCCAAATCATGCTTGCTGTAGTCTAGCACCAAACACACACACAACTGTTCTGCTAGGCTCCTTGTGTAGCACTGCTGCTTTCATTGTGAAGCATTTCCTGCTGATGATGCGGTGGACATTATCTACTGAGGACACATCCATCATTCTGCACTATCACACCATTGGTCCCTTTACTATTCTCTCCCATTAAGAGTCCCAGCCAGCTGTAAAGGGGGAGGTACCTGCACTCATCCATCCCTCATGTTCCATCCATGTAAGCAAGTCACACAACCTGCTACTGAATTAACTGGATGTTGGCTGTTTATGAAGCAAAAGAGAACCCACCATGCCCTATGTGGGGAAGCTTATTGCAGTTCCTCTTAGCAGCTGACTTCTTGGTAGGAAGCGCAGCAGTGGGGTGGTGTCATTATCCTCAAAGCTTCTTTGCTCTTGCCAAACAGGATCTGGGGCTAGGTCTGCCTTCCTGGGCTGGGATTTGTTCTATTGCTTTGTAGGCACCTAAAAGTCTTAATAAAAATAAAGTTACTTTTGAAGTCTGGCTCCTGTACTATGTTTTAATTCCCTCCCAGGAAATGAATGTGGTCTGATGAATTGTACCCACCCATCCCACACATGGAGGAAGTACAGTGAGCACAGCTCAATTGACATCAGCATTGGAGGCTAAAGTTATGCGCAAGACTCTGTCCTTAACTTCTGCAACTGCAGGCACTGGAAGGGACCCTTGGCACATATAGGGACACTTTCTAACAATTGCCCACCATTGTGATTACTGGTTCAGTTCCAGAGGTGGGAACCCAGTGCAAGCCAAGCCAAACACTGAGTCAGTTTGACTTTCTCTGACAAGGAGTTGGATGTGCCACTTAGCCCCCCTGTGGCAGCTGGTGTTGTCTCACTTCTGCTGGAAGTTCTAGTAAACACTGCTGTTAGCAACACTGGGACTGTCTCTTCAAAAGGATCAAACTGCAGGGAAAAAAGCAGCTCTAGGCCCAGCTTTTGCACCTACAGGCCCAGGTTAGCCAGTCTTCTCCCCACCCCCAGTGCTTTGGACTCAACCCAGGGAATAAGGAGGTGAAAACTGAGGATAGAACTAACACAATGACTTGTTCTCAGTAACCATCTTCTATCAAAACCTAACATGAGCTGGCAGCCTCACTGCTACAGGCCAGCTGCTGCCAATAGGAATAATGCCCAGGGGACAAGGAACCCAAGGCATTTCCACAGCAGAGATGGGTGAAAGTATTGCACAGGGCACAGGCCCTTTCCTCATACTGAGCTGCCTTTATAGCACACAGTTCCACTGGCCTGGAGAAGGAACAGTCTGTTATCATTACAAGCCAATCTCACACCCCACAAATCCAACAACTGTCAAGATTAGTTTCTCTCTAGCTTCATCAGTGTCACCTGCTTGAGACGACAAACATCCTGGGGGAAAGTTCAATGAGCAGTTCCACACCCAGCCTCTCAGAGCCAACACCTACCATGTATTGCGGAATGGAGAGTGCAGTGAGCAAATAGGCCTGGCAGGGTTGAGCAGTGCTCTCAGCACAGACAAGTGTATTTGCATAGGGTCTTAACAGGAGACTCCAATCAGTATCACTGAGGGGCCTATGGCCAGAGGCCCATGGGCTGTCCCTAACTTACCTGCACACAGATGACTACAAACACAAACCCACAGAGACAAACCCTAAAAATTCTCACTGAACATTCAAGCTGCTCATCCTATTTGTTAAGAGCAGGACCCTCAAGTGCAGCACTAGCTCCCATCCATTTTACACCTCTCAGCTCCAGGACTCAGCCAACCTTACCATGCTCTAGATGTTCCTAAACCTCTGACTGCTAGAAGGTGGGACTAGACAACGGGATGGATCACTCAATAAACTGCCTTGTTCTGTTTACTCCCTCTGAAGCATCTGGAACCTGCCACTATCAAAAGACAGGATACTGGGCTAGATGGATTCTGGTCTGACCAGTATGGCCATTCTTATGTTCTTACTAGAACTGTCAATTAATCTCAGTTAATGCATGCGATTAACTCAAAAATTAACACTTTTTAAATGAGCGTTAATCACACATCTCTGCAGATGGGAGTCAGTGGTGGCCAGGTAAGGAGGCATCAGCTGGGCAAAGGGGGCCACTGCCCAAGGCACCATGCTCAGGGGGTGCTGCTGCATGCCTCTGGGGCAGGGTGCCCCAACTCCTGCCGCCCTCCTCCACTGTGGATCCCACCTCTCTGCCCCTGGCCAAGCTGCTCCTGACTGGGAGCCAGCCTCCTGTGCAGAGTGGGGGTGTGGAGGCTGATGTTGGGGTATTCCCCTCCCCTCGCCCATGTAGCCAGTCACCACTGAGCTGAGGCCAGGGAACGGGGGAACCTGTTTGCTGCTGCTGGCAGCTCAGAAGTGAGTGCTGCGGACAACAGCTGCTGCTGGCTGAAAAGTGCTATGCTGAAAAAGACAGTGCTCTTCCAATACCCACCAAACCAAAACTATTGGCAAAAATATTTAAATAAAAGGTATTCTATTATTGTTTAACAATGCTATTAAAACTGCAATTAATCATGATTATTTTTTTAATCTCATGATTAATTGTGATTAATTTTTTTTTTAAACTCATTTGGCAGCCCAGTTCTTACCACTCCAAGTCCATTTCCTGTCACCTTGACAACAAAGCCAATCTGCTCCCCTGAGACTTATTTGCATCAGTCCCTTTCCAGCTTCACTGCTGCAGCTACCTATTACATCACCCCATTCAATACAAGCCTGCTTTGCTAGGGTCAAGTTCAGCCCTAGGGCAACAGGGTGACATCCCGAGTTACAGCAGCAATAAAATTGGGTCAGTCTTCAAGGCCTTTCTGGGGCACACTTCTCCCTCCTGCACTGAGTTGAATTCCTCAGCTCTGACGGAGCATCACATGAACTCTGAACAGGGAAACATGTTTATCCTCTCTCCCCAGAAGTGCCCCAGGAGGTAGGGATGTCCATCCATCCCAAACTCACTCCTGTTGCCCGTTTCTGTAGGAGGGTACTTGGTCTAATGCTATCCAGTTCTTAATGGCTCTCAGAATACACAGGCAAAACCTCTCAGACTGGGGCAGCATTAGCACTTCTGGGAGCAACAGCACAGCACAGTTGGCCAGATGCATTATGGATATCTTTACCTTCATATGAAGCAACAGATCTTGGTCACAGTACAGAAAGGACAGGAGTACTTGTGGCACCTTAGAGACTAACAAATTTATTTGAGCATAAGCTTTCGTGGGCTACAGCCCACTTCTTCAGATGCATAGAATGGAACATATAGTAAGCTAGCTATATACATATATATACACACGTGTGTGTATACATACACACACACACCCCACGAAAGGTTGTGGTAAGATGCATTTGTTACTCTAAGAGGCTAATTAATTAAGATGACCTATTAATTAATTAGCCTCTTAGAGTTGGTATGGCTACTTCCACCTTTTCATGGGGGGGGGGTGTGTGTGTGTGTGTGTGTGTGTGTGTGTGTGTATATATGTATATAGCTAGCTTACTATATGTTCCATTCTATGCATTTGAAGAAGTGGGCTGTAGCCCACGAAAGCTTATGCTCAAATAAATTTGTTAGTCTCTAAGGTGCCACAAGTACTCCTGTTCTTTTTGCAGATACAGACTAACACGGCTGCTACTCTGAAACCTGTCATAGTACAGAAAGGATCATCGAGCAGAAGGAGAAGAAATTCATACCATCCTATCAGAGGTCACTGATAATTTCCCAAGATTTATCCTGCTCACTGCGATAGCTGTCTCAGCACAATGGGCCCCAGGTGCTCCAAGCTCCCCACGCAGCCACTGTCCTCTGTTCCCATCTTAATGGGAATGGACACCCCTCTATGCTGGAGACCTAAACATGGTCTCTTGGCTCATGACAGGAAGAACTACAAACCCTGGGCATAAAAATACATTTCCCCCCTTTAATGTAAAACAGTCAGGAAGAGTCCAAACAGAGTCTAGTGCAGTGTTGCTCCTGGAAGAGAACCAAGCAGCATCAGTTCTCAGAGCCACTGTGGTCTCCCCTCTCGTCCTTCACCTCCGACAGGCTGCTCTCATCAATGTTCTCCAGAGAGGCAGCATGCTGGAGTGCCAGGTCTGACAGCATCATGGAGGGGAGTTTGTTCTGCTCAGGATACAGCCAGGGCTTCACACTGACATTGTGCTGCTGTTTCCAGGAGGGGTATTTCAAGCAGGCCTTATGCATCTTCTTCAGCATCTGAAGAAAGCAGAAAAGGGGACCAAGAAAATGGAAGCAGCCTAGAATCTGACCACTACCAGACCCCCTGCATTTTCGTATGTACTTAATGCTTGGGAAAGGGTGGGTGCTGTGCAGTTACCCGAGTCAGGTAAAGGGGGGAGACCTGAGTGCATGGATGGAGAGACTAATACTGTACAGTTCCATACAGGAGCATTTTCCATTTGTTTGGATAAGCAATCAGCAACTTCAATAGATCTAAGGATCTCATTGTGCTTCAGCTGCTTCTCCTCTAGGAGGCAGACAATTATTAGCCTCATTTTACAGATGGAGAAATGGAGGCTGAGCCAAAAAGTCAATGTGACACCTTGGTCAAGTCCAGTGACAGAGCTGGGGACAGAACCCAGGATGCTGACCCATGCTGCAATCTTGTGTCTCAACTACACCTCATGCCAAATAGGTTCCCCACAGTTATGCCCTGCAATCCTGACCTGTGCCTTCCCCACTACTCCAAGAGCTCAGAGGATGCTGAACCTCAGAATGCAGAATCCGGTGGTCACAAGCTGGGGACCCCAAGACAAAGCATTGTGCACAGGTTTTTCACCTCTCTAATGTATCAGAGGTTGGTCATTGTCAGAAGTTGGACTAACCGGGCCAGCACATTTTAGTACCAAATCCAAGGATACCCCATTCTCTCTACTGCTCGGGCCTGTACCAGGAAGTTGGAGGGGCTGGAAAGTCTAAGGACAGGTTAGATCTCCACTAACTGCCAGCCCTTTCCTCTAACCATGAACAATGGTTGATCCTTATTACCCACTACTCAGGAGCTCCTTCACTCACCCTTGGTGCCAGGTACTGGGAAGCTTTATTCACAACCCACTTTGGCAGTTTCCCTAATGCACAAGAAAGAAAGGTGGAGAAATAGAATAATTAGTGAGCCATGGCAGAAAAATGCTGCATTTATGCCAGGGTGCAACTGCACGCAATGCTCCAGCCCCTCACCAAGGTACAATTGCGAAGCTGCAAGATCATTTCCATGGCACGTTGCAAAGTGATCCTAGATGGATGCCTAGGAGGGAAATGTGTGGAAAGAAAGCAATACAATTTATGCCCTGTATAAGGGAGTAGAATTTCTGTTCACCTAGACCTGAAGTTGCCTCATCCCCTTGCACACCCACAAGGGATACAGAGCCAGACTTACCTTTGGGGTCCACCTGAGCCAGGTAAGTCAAGGTGCAGCTGTTTGGTCCAGTCGACTGCACTAAGTATCCCGCCAAGATAGAAACAGCCCTTACCAGGTCCTTTCGGGGAGGATATTGCTGTATGGTGAAATCAGACACTCAAACTCTGTCACCTTACTTGGACTCTCTCTCAGACCTGGTGTTATACACACAGGGCAATGGGACTAATCTAGAGGCTCAGACACGGTGCCTGGTCTGTAAAGCATTAGCTGTGCAATACATATCCCACAATAATAAAAGGTCCCTGCACATCCAAAGGGACACAGGGATTACATACACTCTAAGGCATAGTAAGGAGTGGTAGACAAACAAGTGTAGCTCAGGTTAATAAGAGCCAGAGTCACATTCTGCTCAGAGCATCCTTAATGGACGGGAGGGATAGCTCAGTGGTTTGAGCATTGGCCTGCTAAACCCAGGGTTGTGAGTTCAATCCTTGAGGGGGCCACTTAGGGATCTGGGGCAAAATCAGTACTTGGTCCTGCTAGTGAAGGCAGGGGGCTGGACTCGATGACCTTTCAAGGTCCCTTCCAGTTCTAGGAGATAGGATATCTCCATTAATTTAACTTGTAACCCGGACAAACTCCACCCAGCTCATGACTGTAGCTGTGGGGTGGAGTCATTCATCAAGGAGGCATCTGAGCAAGCACTATTGAGATTCCCGTGGGAGCATGGGGCTATGTAATTAAACTCTTCCCACCCCCTGACTCACCGGGTGTTTGACAGAGAAGTTGATGATCATGTAAGATTTATCCACAACCTGCCAGGATCGCAGTGTCACCACATCTCTGTTCTTTAAGGGCTTTGGACATTTCCCTAGCCAAGAAGGAAGCAAAGTCACTTCAACTCACCAGTGATAAGAGTTGCAGGAAGTGCAGTCACACTAGGGGGTTTCTACCTTGCCTGCACTTGCCGCTCAGGTGAAGTTAGCGATCTCTCTGTATCCTGCCACCAAAGCCTCCCCTCATCTCTTAAGAGCCCAGCTGATCCTTCTGTTAGCAGCCTCAACAGAGATGCAAAGGATGAAATGAACCCGGGGGACTGAACTCCCCTCTCCTGTTAGAAAGTCCAGTGGGCTGAGACATGTTGGTGTGTGGGAAGCTTGCCCTACTGCTGACCAGATGGTATCTATTCAGGGCATACAGAATGGGTTCAGTCTTTGCTCCTTCCTACTCAAGGAAACTGGATGGGCCCTACACTTGTTTAACTCAGGATTGCAATTCTCTGGGGTTGATCACACCTCCTACCGGACTCAGCGAATCAGAGCAGCCCCCAAGCCATCACTCACAGGAGTAGTAGCCCACATCAGCATTGGTGGCAAGCCGGGCAATGTCATGTGTGTCAATGACGTTCATGTCCCACTTCCTGCGATACTCAATGTCATGCAGCACATCATACACCGTCTCCGCTGGCACATCTTGGATGTCAATGCAGCACTGCAGGCAGGAGCAGGACCACAGTCAGGACACTGGCTGGCTGGACCCGCCCCCATACTACCGATTGGAGTAGCTGACTTGATCCATGTATAGGGAAGAGCACCTCATTCTCAGCTGGGCTCCCATTTGTGGGGAAATGTGTCAGACAGGGTAACACTACCCCTTTACAAATCACTGGAACCCTCCACTCAAAACACTTTGCAAATATCTACCCACTGTGAAGAGAAATGATGAACAGCGAGGGAAGCAACTCACCTAAGATCAAAAACGGGGATAAGGACAGAGAATCCATTCCAAAGTAACAATACTTATTGCCCTTGAAACATTCAGCAGAGACAAACGCAAACAGATCAGTGTTAAAACCCCTATCCCATAACTAGACAAATCCCAGTCCACACAACAACCAGAATCATGAACAAGAAGCACATGGCACAGGCTTCCATAACTAAGGTACCACCACACACGTTGGTGCAGAAGAATGGAGAAGGTGAGCAGAGCAAGTCAGAGCTGGACACTACGTTCCAATCTCCAGATAGAAGCAACCAGGCAGACAGTGGAGGTGTCCAATCTTACACAGATGACTCCAGCGTGGAGATGCACAGTAGGCCCCCTCAACGGCTTGTGGTTGACCAGAATTCAGGGGCAAATAGCAGGTCTGGGAGATCCCAGAAAGAATAGCTTTCCTGTTACTGGTTCAGAGAAGCTGCACCTCTAGTTCCAATCCCATCACCCTATACCAGACTTCAGCCACTTACAGTGGTGTTTGTCAATATGAGTCAATGATTTACAGAGAAAGCATAACTCAGACTGCAGTCTCAAGGCTGGTGCAACTCCACAACCACTCACTATGTTGTTCTATACCACATGGGCAAAGAAGACTCCTGTGGGGAACGCTATCACCAGGGCAGACAACTGGATAGGAAGAATAATTAATGCATCTCACTGGCCACTTTCTTGGGAAGTTCACATCAGATTCCTGGCACCCAGATACTGGAGTGACAAGTGCCTCTGGGTCACAGATGTGTCACATGGCAAAGACAAGGGCTGTGTGAATTGCATACCAGGGAAAAGGGACACCAAAGCCCATACAAGATGGTGACAATTAGCACAGATGGGCTCCACTACATATTTTAGAGTTAATCAGTTACTCTAATCCTGGCACAAGCACTGGCAAGCACCTTCTGGGGCAGGAGCCCAGCAACTCCTCTGGTGCCCAGTTTCTGTCTCCACGTGACACGATCCCCGACTCCCCCCGCTTAGGGTCCAGGCCCAGACTACATTGGACCTCAGTTTGTGACAGGGAGCCAGGACTACAAATAGTCAAACTCAGGGTGAGCGGAGCCTGCGGTGCCAGATCTGGGCGTGAGGCCATCCAACTCCCACAGCGAGCCCCGCTCCCAGGGGAGATCCAGGCTCCCGCAAGTGCCCTCTCCCAGCCCCCCACTCCGTGCCCTGCCCTGCCACCCCCCGGCTCACCTTGACCGTGTGCACGGCGGGGCCGGCGGGCGGGGGCGGCTGCACCCACACCCCGACGCCCTCCCGGCTGTATCTGCTCTGCCAGCCGCGCTCCGCCTCGCACTGAGCCCGGAAGGCCCGGAAGGCGTCGGCGTCGGGCACCTGCACAGGCTCCATAGGCGTTGGGGAGCCGGCGAGGTCAGCAGCGGAAGGCGCCGGACGGGTGAACACAGGTGCCGGCAAAGGCCCCACCCGCTCGCCACCCCATACGCAGTTGGCGTAGTAGCTCCCGCCCCGCCCCTACCAGGTTCGCCCAGCTTGTCCCCGCTCCTCATTGGCTGCACCTCGTCGAACCAACCGCCAATCAGGCAACGATTCCGGCCAGGTGCGCCCCGCCTGCCCCGCCCTACCCGCTGATTGGCCGCGATGTCCGCGGCTTCTTTTCCTGGTTGGACTGTCCCCGCACGGAACACACCTGCCGCCTCGTGACGGGTGAAATTTTAAAAATCAATGGCGGGTTCGGAATTAGATACAGTATGAAACAGGCCGCGCCCCACGTGGCTAGGAGCTGGGGAGGGCTCGGATTGGCTGTTGGGATGGAGTGTCTAGTGGGGATTGGCTCTAGAGGGAACAGCCGGAGCGGGGGGGGGCCCTGCGAGGAGCAGGCCTGTGTCGCCCCGTGGCCTGTCCGCCGTCCGACCCCTGCCCCGCCCCTTCTCCGAGGCCCCGGCCCCCACTCACTCCATCCCCCCTCCCTCCCTCCCTCCCTCTTCACCTCACTCGCTGGCTCGTTCTCACCGGGCTGGGGCAGGCGGTTGGGGCTCCAGCTGGGGGTGCGGGCTCGGGGCGGGGCTGGGGATGAGGGGTGTGAGGTGCAGGAGGGGGCTCTGGGCTGGGGTGTTCAGAGTACAGGAGGGGGCTCGGCTGGGGGCTTGGGATGCAGGTTCCAGAAGCGCTGACCTCAGACGGCTCCGGGGAAGTAGCAGCATGTCCCTCTGGCTCCTAGTCGGAGAGGCGGCCAGGAGGCTCCCCGTGCTGCCCCTGCGGTTCCCGGCCAATGGAAGCTGTGGAGCCAGCGCTCGGGGGGAGGCAGCATGTGGAGCCCACGGGACGTGTTGCCGCTTCTCGCGAGCCAGGCAGGGAGCTTGCCTGCTACACGGCCAACTAGATTTTTAATACAAAAACAACAAGGAGTCTGGTGGCACCTTAAAGACTAACAGATTTATTTGGGCATAAGCTTTCGTGGGTAAAAACCTCACTTCTTCAGCTGCATAGAGTGAAAGTTACAGATGCAGGCATTATATACTGACACATGGCGAGCAGGGAGTTTCTTCGCAAGTGGAGAACCAGTGTTGACAGGGCCAATTAATCAGGGTGGATGTAGTCCACTCCCAATAATAGATGAGGAGGTGTCAATTCCAGGAGAGGAAAAGCTGCTTCTGTAATGAGCCAGCCACTCCCAGTCCCTATTCAAGCCCAGATTAATGGTGTTAAATTTGCAAATGAATTTTAGTTCTGCTGTTTCTCTTTGAAGTCTGTTTCTGAAGTTTTTTTGTTCAATGATAGTGACTTTTAAATCTGTAATAGAATGACCAGGGAGATTGAAGTGTTCACTTACTGGCTTATGTATGTTACCATTCCTGATGTCCGATTTGTGTCCATTTATTCTTTTGCGGAGGGAAAAACACCACACCACATCACAGAAACACCAACCCAGAAACCAATCCCTGTAGCAAACCTCGTTGCCTACTCTGTCCCCATATCTACTCTGGCGACACCATCAGAGGACCCAACCACATCAGCCACACCATCAAGGGCTCATTCACCTGCACATCCACTAATGTTATATATGCCATCATGTGCCAGCAATGCCCCTCTGCCATGTACAGTGGCCAAACCGGACAGTCCCTCCGCAAAAGAATAAATGGACACAAAGGGGTATTTCTCTATGGTTCTCCAGGTGCTTGTGGATCACCGTGGGCGTTTCATTGACATTAACGCAGGCTGGCCCAGAAAGTGCATGATGCACGCATCTTTCGGAACACTGGCCTGTTCAGGAAGCTGCAGGCCGGGACTTTTTTCCCAGAGCGGAAGATCACAGTAGGGGAAGTCGAAATGCCCATTGTGATCCTTGGAGACCCCGCTTACCCGTTAATGCCGTGGCTCATGAAACCCTACACAAGGAGCCTTGACAGCAGCAAGGAATGGTTCAACTATAGGCTGAGCCGGTGACGAATGACTGTGGATTGTGCTTTTGGCTGTTTAAAGGGCCGCTGGCGATCTCTGTATGGGAAGCTGGACTTGGCCGAAAACAGCATCCCCGTGGTTATATCCGCGTGCTGTACCCTCCATATTATTTGTGAAGGGAAGGGTGAAAGATTCAGTCAGGCATGGACCTCCGATGTTCAACACCTGGAGGCTGAATTTGCACAGCCAGAGAGCAGGGCTATTAGAGGGGCTCAGCACAGGGCTGCAAGGATTAGGGATGCCTTGAGGGAGCAATTTGAGGCTGAAAACCAGCAGTAATGTCTGGTGCCCTGCACGGGAGTGAAGTGCAGTGGTTACAATGTCAGTAGGAATCTGTGTTTGCTAAGCTGATTTGCAGTGCCTGTTTCTTTCCTGGGCTAAGGTATCTTTTAAGGTATCTTTTACTTTATGCAATAATAAAGAATGTTTTCAAAGCCAAAAAATCCATTTATTGAAAAGAAAATTCATTTATTGAACGAAACACAACTGTTTGGGAATCAGAAAGGGCAAGGTGGTGGGGTGGGGAATGGTATAATCATAGATTTGCGTATGTCTTGGCTGGAGTGCTGTGCAATGAGTGCTGCACTTCAGGATGGCTATACTGCATGGTGATGGGGGTTGAGTGCAGAAGGTAAGGGTCATAGTTTTCAGGGCTGGGTGGTGAAGATACAGGTGTTGGAGGCAACTGGTGGTAGTAAGAACCCGGATGTTGGGGAAAGTGGTTTGGAGGTGACATGGGGGCACAAGGGAAAGAGTTTTGGGACAAGGGCTGCGGGGGGGGGCGGTAGTGCTCTGCCTGCATGGCTATGAGCACCTGGATCGAGTCCGCTTGGCGCTCCATGATGCTTATCAGCCGATCCGTGCTTTGCTTCCGGTGCACTGCGTTTTCCTTGTGGATCCTGCTTTTGCTCTCCCTCCACTCCTGCGCTTTTCGATTCTCTGTAAGAGATTGATGCATCACTTTGTGCAGCATGTCTTCTTTGCTTTTTCGCGATTTCTTCCGGAGTTTTTGCAGTCTCTCAGCCGGTGATAACACGGACAGCTGAGATCTCAAGGTTGTGTCTGTAAAGGCAAAATGCAACACTTAACAGAGGCAGCATTGTTTATACCAGACAGAGTAATGATTCCCCCGCACTTAAGGAGGGCACACACTCTACACAATAGCATAATTTTCCCATCCCAAAGAGAGCGCACATAACCCACGGGAGCCCCAAAATGGTGAGTAAGGAGGACTGATTGTTTCAGGGCTGTACTGTCCTCTGGGTTTCTGTTCCTTGGGGAGAGCCAACAGCTGCAGGGGGCACCTACACTGAACACTGTCCCAACATTTTCCACAGGAGTTTATCCTGGAAGATATCTCGCTGCTGAGGGTGACCTGGGAAGCAAGGGAGGGTCTTCTACTGCAATCCGGCTTCCGCCCTGGCCCATATGCAGCTTGCCTGTGTGCAGTAATGGTCCCCCGCGCACAGTAGCGCGGACACATTAGCCTGACTGGGACAAGGACCACGGTGGCTCTCCCAATAAACCTGCACAAGCGCATTGCCCACGTTCTGGATGAGACTTTCAAAGAGATTACCGAGGCCAATTACCGCGATGTGATAGACCACATCAATGCGCTATTCCGCATCTAGGCATGCATGCAGCCCTAACCCTCCTCTCCCAAAGAGCCTGCACCGAAAAAATTCCTTCCCGAAAAAAACCTCCCCCCCCCCAAAAAGCCACTTACTGGGAACCTGCTCTTTTTTTTTTAAATTACATTAAATTAAATTAATGGAGATATCCTATCTCCTAGAACTGGAAGGGACCTTGAAAGGTCATCGAGTCCAGCCCCCTGCCTTCACTAGCAGGACCAAGTACTGATTTTGCTCCTGATCCCTAAGTGGCTCCCTCAAGGATTAAATTCACAACCCTGGGTTTAGCAGGCCAATGCTCAAACCACTGAGCTATCCCTCTTCTGTTTGTCCTCCACCAAGTACCGGCTGCTGTGACTGGCTACCTTCCTCCTGGCTTGAGAAGAGCTCCTGGCTGCATGCCTCCAGGGATTCTGGGGTGGCTCCCCCCGCCCCAGCTCCCTCACTCCCGCTTTCCTCCTCCTCCCCCCGCTCTGAAGTGTCCATGGTGGTGCTCGGAGTGGAGGTGAGGTCACCCCCACGTATCGCGTCCAGCTCTTTGTAGAATCAGTAGGTCGCGGGGGGAGCACCCGAGCGGCCGTTTGCCTCGCGGGCTTTGTGGTAGGCATTCCGCAGCTCCTTCACATTAATCCTGCACTGCAGTGTGTCCTGGTCATGGCCCCTTTCCATCATGGCCCTTGATATCTGCCCAAAGCTATCGTAATTCCTACGGCTGGAGCGCACCTGGGACTGGACAGCTTCCTCCCCCCAAACACTGATGAGGTCCAGCAACTCGCCCTTGCTCCATGCTGGGGCTCGTTTGGTGCGTGGAAGCATGGTCACCTGGAAAGATTCGCTGATAGCAGTTCACACCTGGCTGAGCAAACAGGAAGGGGATTTTTAAAATTCCCGGGGAATATAAAGGGCGGGTCTGATGGTTGGTCACCTGAGGCCAGGGCAATAGAGTTCGAACTGATGAGCAGAGTGGCTAGAACAGGCATAGTGGGATACTGCCGAATACTTCTGGAGGCCAATCAGAGCGCATTGGGTGGCCACACTGGTGCCGCAGCGCAGCAGCGGCAGCGCAATACTCTTTATTCCTCTTGGGGAGGTGGAGTACAAGCAGCGCTGTAGCCGTGGAGATACAGCGCTGTACGTGCCTTGCCAGTGTGGACGGGGAGTGAGCTACAGCGCTGTGGGTGGCTTTATTGCGCTGTAACTGAGTGTAGTCAAGGCCAAAGAAAGTATGTTTCAGTTCTTGTTCTCTCCTCTGTGCATGAGCAAGGAGGAGGCCAGTTCAGAAGAACTAATGGTTTGTAATTACAAAAACAAAACAAAGAACACACCCAAAACACTAAAAAAACATTCTTAAGATTG